GACTGGTGGATTTCTCTTTTCTGTGGTGTGTGTGTGTGTGTGTGTGTGTGTGTGTGTGTGTGTGTGTGCAGGGCCTGTCAGATGGACCTGCAGACAGCCATCCAGGAGACTCAGTGTGCTCTTAATCTGGTCCTCAACAACAAGTTCTCTGAAGCCCTGGACCTCCTCAAACCATGGTAACCACGGCAACAAGTGTGTGTGTGTGTGTGTGTGTGTGTTATGTAGTACAGACTGCAGTGTGTTACTGTACTACAAAGCTTGTTAATACTATGACTACTGATACTTTAACTATTACTATTTTAATTACTCACTACTAACTGGTTACAGCAGGTGTAATTACTACTAGTAATGCTACTAACTACAACTATAACTAGTACTATACCTGGTACTTCTGCTGGTAATGCTACTAACCTATAATACTAGTATGACAACCCTGTGTGTGTGTGTGTAGGTGGAAGGACAGTATGTACCATGCGTTGGGATACAGCAGCATCCTGGTGATGCAGGCCACGATGACCTTCGAGCACAAAGACATCCAGGCTGCCATGGCAACCATCAAGGAGGCGTTACACACCTGTCAGAGGTGAGACACGATATTTTCTCTGAGAGTCGAAAAGCTGCGATGACTCTGACAATCTGGCGCCATGTTCAGATGGTGAACATTATTGCTGGTAGACATCAGCATGTTGACGTTAGCATTTAGCTGCTAACCTGGCTGCAAACTCCCGTTCACTTAAATTGACTAAAAATTACTAATTTTCTGTAGAACGGCCTTTGAAGTCAGTTCACATAGAATTTGTATCAAATAACCCAAATACACATTTTACACACAATAATCTTATTAAAATCTTATTGAAAACCTTCAAACAACCAATATTAGACACATTTTACACATTTTACAGCTGGAAACATGATCAGAACATGAGTCTGTGTGTTTACAGGTTCAGGAAGAGGAACTCAGTGGTCGGCTCTCTGTCCAGTCTGATCAACAAGCAGTCCAACCTGCAGGAAGGTACGTCAAACACATGTCCCGCCCACACAGTTTGATTGACAGCTGCAGGAAGAGCAGCTCAGAAAATAATAACAACATAGAATAAAATATAGGGAATAAAATCAAGCAGCAGGGAGTCACTGTGTTTGTGTGTTTTCAGAGGAGATGCACGCAGAGATCTGCTACGCCGAGTGTCTGCTACAGAAAGCCACGCTGACGTTCGTACAGGTAGGAGCTGTCTGTCTGTCTGTCTGTCTGTCTGTCTGTCTGTCTGTCTTTTCACCTTTTACCTGTCTGACTCCGTCTCATCTGTCAGCCTACATATCATAAGTCCTCCTCTGGGTCCTTTTGATAAAGATTAAAAGCAAAATTAGGGCAACAATCTGTGCAGCAGAGGTCCAAGCTCAGAATCCTACATTTCCCATGATGCAGCTGGATAGCAGCTCTTTCATTAAACATCACAAGAACAGCCACATCTTACAAACTCCACACTTCTGGTTTATAAAACTCTCAGAGCCACAGGAAACATTGTTTTTAATGTTTTCTTAAAAAGGTGTCGTACCCTTTAAGCTGCAGTTCCAATAGTGGCCACTAGATGCTGCTCCTGTCAAACTCTGACTGTAATGAAGTGAATAGGAAAACCACCAGTTTCTGTCTGGAAATACAAAGTCAGTTTTGTCTTAACAGAACTTTCAATGTGTTTTTGGAAACAAAATGTTTAACTGAAACTTAATTAAAGGTTGAACAGTTGTCAGGAATAGATACTACTTAAAACTAAATGTCAGTGAGGATTCCTAAATTATCAGTATTACATTATGTTTAATTAATATCAATCAATATATAGCCACAAGTGAGGTAACATCGGCCTTTAAGGATCATCATCCTGATTCAGTTTAGGATTTAGAACGAAGAAAGTTGCTCCAAATTTACCCAAACACACCAAATACAAAGTTATTCAGTTCAAATAAAAACTGCACATAAACATTAACAACATGACATAATTTGGCATTGATCACATAACAATATAACCAAGGAAACAACAGAAACAAAGCAGAACAAGCTAATGAGGATAACTGAGTGAAATGTCTTTTCCCATCTGTCTCTCTTTCAGGACGAGAACATGATCAGTTTTATCAAAGGAGGCATCAAGATTCGAACGAGCTACCAAATCTACAAGTGAGTGTCTGTTTCAAACCACCGGCGACATTAAAGTATCTCATTTAATTAAACACCAGTAGTAACGAGGCAGCTGTAAATGTACAAATAGGATGAATCCGTCATTTCCTGATTGTGACATCTTGTTTCATGTCGTCCAATAGGGATTGTCAGAATGTGCTGAATGACACTCAGGACCTGGCCGGCCAGTCTGATGCATTCAGACAGTTTGAGGGCGGAGTCAAGCTGGGCATCGGATCCTTCAACCTGGTGGGTTTTCAGAGAGTTTAACTGCAGTAAATTTAAAAGCTTTCGGTGACATATTGTGTTATAACATTTTGGGATTGTATGAGGTCGTCAGTGTGTAGACAACAGGTCGACCCCAGTTTGGAGTGTCGGCACAGAAGATAAGCGATGTACTGCTGCGGAAGGGGGCAGCAACAAAATGTATTTTAGCCACCTGAAAAAATCTATTTAAGTGTACAGTTATGTTGCCAGACAGCTCTTTCTAACTGGGAACTGAAGCTGTGATATCAATCTACGCTGCGTTCAAAGCCACCAGACTCATTTAAAACACCAGCTGGTATTCCTGTCTGTTTTTCTAAACTGGGAAGCAGCCCCACTTAAAAAAAACCAACTCCGATTTTTGTGCATGTACATGAAATGTGCTGAATTTTGTCAGTTACAAAAAGGCCTGTTTTTTTGGTTTTTTGATTCCACGGACACGCCGTTTGACAAAAACTCAAGCTTTTGATAACACTTCATCGTGAATGCCCTAAGAGTGTACTGACCAAATTTGAAATCAATCTGATCAATCAAAGAGTAGTCTGTTAAAATACAATGCGTGGAAATGGCAAACATGGCGCCAAAATTGGACACTAAATGAAAAATGTTTGATTTTTGGCTATGGGTCCTTGAGGTTGCACATGATGAGTGTGTTACGATTTTCATACAGATTGGTGCTGCTGGGGTTGCTCTTTAGGGGGCGCTATCGAGCCATTTTGCCAGCAGTGGTCGCTGTTCGGGCCCTAATTACTCACACAGCTACAATATAAAGTGCACATAATGTCTGACTTTCATCATGATTTGATCGTATTTTCTGTCTCTTGTCTTTCAGATGTTGTCTCTCCTTCCTCAGAGGATTTTGAGGTTGTTAGAGTTCATCGGATTCTCAGGAAACAGGGTCAGAACAACCACTTTGTGTCTCTTCACCCAATCTGTTCCACACAAAATCTCTCTGTTTTTTAAAATGTGTTAAAATAACAGTTAATAATAATCCTGTCTGTCTGTTTGCAGGGGTTTGGTCTGTCTCAGTTGAGAGAGGGAGCCTCCAGTCACAGCTTGCGGTCGATCCTCTGCGCTCTGACGCTGCTCTTCTACAACACATATGTGTCACTGATACTCGGTACAAATACACAAACACACCTTTGCCCTTTTCCTTAAATATAGCACACTTTAACTTTAACTGGCCCACAGTTGTCTGGCTCCAGAGCTGTGTCCTCAGATAGTTTTCATGCTGAGGTCTGGCTGAAGATAATGGTGTTGATGTTGTGTTTGATCAGGAACTGGAGAGGGGAACCTGGTGGAAGCTGAAGCTCTGCTGGAGCCGTACCAGCACAAATACCCCAAAGTAAGTAACCGCACACACAAATTCTGAACAAAATATTAAATATTCTGTCTCATGATTCATAAAGAATTTTAAACTCTTGTGAAAACCTACAGCTTTAGTGTTGTACAGTGATTGGTTGATGAAGTATGTTAAAAGTTATATACAGAACACCAGCATATGTGCGCTGTGGCCAACCAGACTCCACTGACAAAACCAGTAATTTTACTTGGCAGAAAACAGCATAAAAACACTGTAAACTGGACAGAAACTAAATAAAACTCACCAAAACCATCTCTGTTTGTCTTTCCATTGATCAACAACTCTGGTTTGGTAGAAATAAATCCTTAACTCACAAACGTAGATGATAAAGACAGCAGTTCTTAACACATGCGTGTTAAGGCTCTTTACTTAATTTTTAAAATCTCATACATAAAACCTTTAAAATACAAATTGATCAACTACAAACTTCATTGTGTTTTTTTTTCAGGGCTCCATCATCCTCTTCTACTCCGCTCGTATCGCCACGCTGCGAGGAAACTTCGAGAAGGTCTGAAACACTCTCACACCTTTTTACTTCTATCTCTGACACATTACATCCCCTCACCCTTAATCTAAACGTAATGTGTGGTGTGTTTCAGGCCCGGGCGAGATACGAGGAGTGTATCAGCAGCCAGCAGGAGTGGAAGCAGATCCACCACCTGTGTTACTGGGAGCTGATGTGGACTCACTCCTACCAGCAGGAGTGGCAGCAGGCGTACCACTACGCTGACCTGCTGTGCAAGGAGAGCCGCTGGTCCAAGGTGAACTTATATTTGAGACTTACTTTGTTTAAACACTTTATTGTTGTTTTTATTTGGTTATATTATTTGGTTTTTTTTTATGTAAAACGAGCTGTTTAATCATAAGTGATTACAAAAACTTTGCTTCTGGATGAAATTTAATCCAGAAATCTTGTGCTTTCAACCTTCTCCAGGCGATCTATGTTTACCAAAAGGCGGCCATCCTCAGTATGATGTCGGAGGAGGAAATGAAAAAGACAGGGGAGAACATCATGGAGCTATTTAAGTCAGTCTGCCTCAGTAAAACATGAATAATGTCACCACAGTAACACCTAAAACATAACCTTTACATTAACGTTACATTAAACGTAGAATATGTGGAATTTTACTGTAAAACATAAAAAGATCATCAACAGAATGTTAAGAAACAAATGTGTTACAGAGATATACTGAAGTTAGCATGCTAACCAGCGAGCTTCCACCCATCCTATCTAATCCTAATAGCTAGTGGTAGCAAGCAGCAGTTAGCGGTTACTCTGGTGATATGCTGCCTCCGTTGTTTGGAGTATGAATTCGACAGGTGGCCAATTCTTACATATTGTACGTTCAAGAAAACACACAGAAATGTTTGAGTGCGTTTTGGGAATAAACAGTTTTTTCTGTTTTGTAGTGAGCAACATATTCAGGAAATAAAAACATTGTTGGAAACTGTTTGAGTGTTCAGAGCTCCGGTTCGGTGCAGGATTAGGGTCAGGGGAATGTTATTGAGGCTATAAATGTGTGTATGTGTGTGTGTGCAGGCAGGTGGAGGGGCTGAAACAGCGTCTGGCGGGGAAGTCGATCCCAACGGAAAAGTTTGCAGTGAGGAAGTCCCGACGCTACAAGGCCGCTAACCCCGTCCCGCTGGTCATCCCCGCACTGGTATACTCAACAAACACTCCTATCAGACTGAGCAGCAGCTTAACGTACTCTGAATAAACTAGCAGTGTAAAGTAATGATGTCGTTTTCTGTCTCTGTAGGAGATGATGTACGTTTGGAACGGTTTCACCATCGTCGGGAAGAGAGCCGACAGTACCGAGTCCCTGCTGGTTACCATAGAGACGGCTGAGGAACAGCTTCGCAGCGACACCAGTAAGTTAATAACAAGACCCCCCAGACGTAAGATTAGACTAGTCGTCGTCACATATTCATATTATTGTAATGATTTAAATCTCTGTATGTGAGCAACCTGTTTATTACAACACAGTGTAACATTACACAGTCTGATTGTTCAACACACGGAATAAATAAGTCGTAATTCAACGATTTGCGTTTAATTTGAAATTTGTTTCAACTGACAGTCCTAGAAGTTAAATCTTTAAAGATTACTGTATGTATTAAACTAGTTTCCATAGTCCAGTGGTTCCCAACCTAAAGGGTTACCAAAGCACAAGGTCTTCTTCATTTTAAGGGTGTAAGAAAACTTTAAAAATACAAACAGTAGGCCAATATTTCAGTATTTCATTCATTACGATGAAGAAATGTTAATATAAAGTAAATGATCTAGTAGAACAATGAACAAGCAGAAACATTTGCTTTCAATTTGTCAAACAAGAAGCTTGTTAAATATAAATAAAAAGTTCCCTAAACAGGAAATAATCTGCTTAAAATTCATAACAAACCTTTCATTGCACAGTTTTTAATATAATATGAAATATCCATAAAATATGTCACTGAGTCAGTTTATTAAATTATAACTTCTGTATGTTTCTCTCATTCAGACCCGACAGAGTTTCACCCTGACGACAGCTGCCTGGTCCAGATGTTGAAGGGACTCTGTCTGAAACATCTGGGTCGGTTACTGCAGGCGGAGCTCTGCTTCACACAGGTCCTCTCCAGGTACCACAGACACACAGACAGACACACAGACAGGCACACAGACAGGTTCAGGTGTTAAGTGTTTATGTGAAATAAGATAAACTCTCCTATCTGTGTCCTTTCAGTGAGAGCCGCATCAGATACGATCACTACCTGATTCCCTTCACACTGTATGAGCTCGGCCTTCTGTATAAACAACAGGGAGACTTCACCAAGGCCACCACGTACATCGAAAATGCCAAGTAAGTTCTCTTCATGCACCATTATATGCCTACATGTACCTATATAAATCTTTTTATGTCTCTATATATCACTATAAGATGTTACACAACTCTCACATCACGCTGTGTGTTTCTACACTTTAAAGCTGCAGCAGGTAACTTCTATAAAAACTAACTTCACTAACTAACTAATAACTAATCTCCTGACAGATAATGTGTGGAACAATCAGGTTCCTCTGGCTCCTCCTGGTGCTCGTCTTTGCACATTAACAGTCGATACTGTTCAAATTTATCACATACTGCTGCACACCTGTACAGTAACTCCGTCCAACCCGCAGGTGTTTCTGATATCTTTGGTATTTTTACAATCATATCTCCAAACAGCCTCAGGTGTTCCTTGGGCCAAAAATAGTTTGGATGTTTGAGGAATAAGTAGCAGGAACGAGTTCTACAACCTGTTTAAATGTCTGTGGTGTGTGAGCTTAAGAGATTTTCACGTTCTATTCTACGGTATGAAATCCATCAGTAAAAACCTCACCTGTGAATGTTTAAGCTTTTGCATGTCTTAAAAAAGACATTTGAGACTACAAAAATCCATCATTCGTGCAGCAATCTATCACAAAATATGTGTTTATTGATTTAATGTTCTGAAAGATGTGTTGTGTTCTCCATCAGGACGAACTACAAGGACTACTCCATGGAGTCCAGACTGCACTTCAGGATCCATGCAGCTCTCAACAGCCTCAAAGGATCTCCTGTCAGCACCCCATGAAACTGGAAAACAACCATGTATGAAACGTGAATCCAGGGATTCGTCAATGAACCGCCCCTTAATGAAGAACCTGATGGGTGTCGGGCGTTTGAGATCACGTCCACCAGGACTCTTTCTTTCTCATTGCTAGCAACCATATATTTTATTTAACTTTTCCTTATTTATTTTTTCAATCGTGTGGACGGATGACACTATTTAAGCAACATATTTCCTGTCAGCAGATTATATTGGTCGATGCGGAGCCGCAGCTCAATGCCAAATGTCAATTTAATCAACGTACCGATTTCCGTTAACAACGGCTCCTTTATAATCAATAAGGAGGCAATAACGCAGGAGGGGTTTTATTCTCAGGGCTCGTTCACTCAGACAATTAATGAATTTAAATGTCACTTTCTGATATAAAAGCACAAGGTCGGGGACGAGCGGGCGTAAACCGTACGTAGGTAAGCGTGGTTTTACCGGAAGGTGTCAGTTTAAGCCTGAAAATTTCAAGTTCATCAGAAGGTCTTAAATTTATTAGAAAACTATTGACATTGACAGCATTTAGTCATTTGGTACTTGGATACTCGCTCAACCCAAATAAAAAGGTAATAAGGGGTAAAGGAGAGGAAACCAATAAGTGACGAGAGGAAACCGATCAGTATTCTTAATAATCTTTGATCGCTGTCGTCTGTCTGAACGAACCCTAAAATCAAACTTATGTCTCTCACAACCAAACAAATCACAGCCTTAAACTAAAGTATAATTTTATATAAACGTTTGCTCACAATAATCTGTGTATATTTGTAGGAAGGTGACTGTAGGAACACACAGTATTTATGCTTTATATTCGCTTTACTTTGCCTTTTTATTTGTTATTTCTTAATAATGCATCACAGCACATGTGCACACACAATCACAGCCTTCTCACCAACTGTGGCTTATACACACACACACACACACACACACACACAAGCTTACACATATTGGGCAATACGCACATTATAAACACACAAACGGCTATAAACGCACACATTTAGCAGCAATATAAAAGAGGTTGTGCTGTTAGTCCGTCAGTGTTTGTCCAACTGTAACAGACGTAGTTTCAGTGATTCTCAGAGGCAGAAGAGATTTAAAACAATTATAACAACAGTACGAATCAATATTATTGTAATGTGAAAATTCTACATTGTGTTTTAAAAGAAGTTTAGTATCTAGTTTCAATTACTAACAACAGTCCGCCAATAACTAATAACAGTCTAATAACAGTCCAATAACAGTCTAATAACAGTCTAATAACAGCCCAAAAACAGTCCAATAACAGTCTAATAACAGTTCAATAACAGTTCAATAACAGTCCAATAACAGTCTAATAACAGTTCAATAACAGTCCAATAACAGTCTCATAACAGTCTAATAGAAGTCCAATAACAGTCCAATAACAGTCCAATAACAGTCCAATAACAGTCTAATAACAGTCCAATAAACAGTCTAACAGTCCAATAACAGTCTAATAACAGTCTAATAACAGTCTGCCATGTTTTGTTTGTTGTGGCTTTTGTCGTCACTGATCAGCCACCGTATTCATTATTAATAATAATAATTAATAAAAACATTAACAACAAATACCCAGAAAAACTAAATCAGCTTTTAGTATTAAAATGAGGACCCAATAAACAAAACATTGTAATATGTTTACTATTATTATTTAATTCAGGAGCCTCAATGTACATAAAATAAAATATAACATTTAACACAAAATGGCTCCTCTTTGCTTCCCCATAATTCAAACCGTGGGCGAACTTTACTAATTTAGGTTAAATCAAACTACAAATGTGTTTAAATCAAATATAATCAGCTCTGCCTCTGAGGACAACTTAAACTTGTTTACTTTAATCCGTCATTACTGAAAAGATTCATCTCAATAGTCGTCGTCCTGTTTGACTGTTGCAGACGTGCAGCTTATAAACCTTTTTCATTTTTGCTATATTAAGTTGTATTATATTATAAACCGTAAGTGTAGACCAACGACGTCCATGAAGAGCAGTTTCTGATATATTTATTTTAAAAAGCACAATGTATGATCTCCATAAGGACCTGTTGTCATTGTCTGTAATGCTTATTAACACAATATTTACTGCGCGTTGAAGGAGAACGGTACACTAGCAGCGTCTTTGCTTCCATTTTAAACATCGGGACGAAGGATACTTGAATAAATACGACGGTGGTAACAATTAGCCTTCTCCCTATAATGAATGTATCAACCTAAAGACCAAATTATATGTGTGTGTCTTTTTGTTCTTTGTGTGTAATTTGTGCCTGTTTAAGAGTTTGGGTGTAATTTTTTTCGTGTGTTTGTGTCTGAAACTCCTGAATAACTTAATTAGTGCAGTAAATATTCAGGAGTTCGATGGTAAAGTCGATAATAGTTTTACACGAAAAGACCAGAGTCGTCTACGTAAAAGAGTTGTGGCAATAAATATAGTGATTCCTGCCATAGGCCCGTACAATAGTACGATCAACTGCTATTGCTAGGAAACTGCCACAGGAGTTTTTGGCTAATAATGCTAGTTTTTGCTTCCATAAGAACAAAAATTAACTCAATTGACCCTTCCTAAGCCCCGTGCTCCAATGACAGTTGAGCAAGCCTCGGACAACTTCCTCCTTTTCTGTACTTATATGCTAAGCTAGGATCATCTGTGTTCACAATCTAGATAAAGTATATAGTGTATAGTAATAATTCTTTTATATCAATCATTATCCAGTTTAGCTAGCATTTTGCTATCAGGTGTAACCAGCTAGCTAACAGTTGATGTAGATTAGCTAGTTCTGCTAACATACGCTAACGTAAAGCTGCAGTAGTTACTGTTTATAAAAAGTAAAAGAACATTTTGGATGGTTAAAAGATAATATTAACATATAGTCATATCTTAGCTTAGCTAAGGTTAATGTAAGCTATTGCTAAACACTATCTAATTGTTAGCTCGCTAACAATTGATGGCTAGTTAACTAGCTGATCTACATTAATCGTTAGCTAACTGGTAAATATAGATCTGATAGCTAACAAAACGCTAGCTATGCTAGATAACGACTGATGTACATTAGCTCACTTTCAGCTAACGTAAGATGTGACTATCGCTTTTTTCTTTTAACCATCTTTAAACTGAGGTTGTCTTTTCCATATAGATTAGCCTAGCACATAGCATATCCAACAGGAAAGGAGAAAGTTGACTGAGGCTAGCTGTTATTAGAGCAGTTTGCTGTTAGCTTATGCTACAGTGTTAGCATGTTGCCTGTTACCATAATATTCTAATATATTGTGCCTAATACCATATAATAGTTTTAGCATTATCACCTGACACAGTGTATGCTCATGTGTGCATAATACGTTGTTCCTCTCACGTATTATTATTATTATTATTACACTCCAGTCACAGAGTAAAGCATCTGTTTCTCTGAAGGTCAAATCTCTTGAATCTTTTAACATCACTAAAAGTTTTGAAGGTATTTCCAGAATCTTAAATGCGTCCGTCTGAATAACAAATATTCTCTTTACTGCACAATAAAAACTAATTTTAACCCGTTTTCTTATACAAACATCAAAAAAGATGGCAGCTGGAAATTGTTGCCATATTTTCACAACACAATAAAAGTATAAACACATTATTGTGTATGAAAATGTGAAATAAGGAATATAATGTTAACAGAAACAAATATAACTGATAATACAACATTAACATTTCTCGTTCACAGCGTACTAATTGGATATAGGTATAGAGATTGTTTGGGTTAAGACGCAGAGTCAATGTATGAAACGTGTTAAATATCTTTCTTTATTCTGCGGTGGATTGAATATTATCTTTTTATCCAGATAGACAGTATGTTGTTAAATGATCAGCAGGAAACTAGCACGCAGGTTTCCACATTAAAGTTTATTATCAATGTCACTATAAAGAATAAAAGTTATGGATGTTTTATGTGTAAGATGAATGACATTAGCTAATGTCAGCTAATGTTAACAAAACACTAACTAACTAGCTAATCTAGATTAGTAATTACCTAATAATCTACATCAATAATTAGATAATAATACAAAGGATTTGCAACCTTTAACTGTCACAACCTTTCTTTATAGAAGGCTTTGATTGTGTTTCATGTCAGTGCCTCTGTGTGTGTGTAACTGTCTTAAAAAGGGTTTTCTATAGGATCTGCTTTGCATGTTATTCTTCATTATGTTTAATCTTTTTGTTTTTTATAAAATATATGAGAATAATATGAGACATGACTGTATGTATGCTTTACGACAGGAGGCAATGTGACCCAATATTACAGGCTTCACGGTTACAGATGGTAACAAGGTGCAATAAAATGGAAATATTAGAATAATTATTCATTTTGAGTGATGTGGCATTTTTCTGTCATTCCTGTTTTTATGTTTGTTCTCTAATGAACACAGAAGTAGTTGTTCTGTCGTTAACGTAGAGCACTTTACATATTTTTATTCCAGGACAGAGTCACAGTTTTGTCTATAAAATGCTATATGAATATATTTAGAAGTTAGCATTGACCTGGTTCCTTTGACAAAAAACAAATAAGAATTATTATTTTGGATAATTGCAGAAAACAAACTCTGTAGGAAAGAAAAGTTTATGATAATCTTCACAAATGAACTCCATGTTTATGATTGTTTTAAGTGTAAATGCTATCGGCATGAGTAAAAAGCTAACGTTAGGTTATAAATTAACTACACCACAACTACTTCCAACTTGTAATCAAATCTTGTAATTAAAATCTCCAAGATGTAAAGTTTGAGTTAGAATAGTTTACAAGAACGCGACTATGAACACGACAATGCTGTAAACCATCGAACCAAAAGCTAAAATGCTAACAACTCAGAAAAACTTAAATTTGTCCGATTCAGGGAACTGCCCCATCTCTGGTTGACCAAATAGAAAATGTTAAACTTTCACTAACAGGTTTCTTCTACTTAGTAGTTATCTAACTAGTTCCACCTGATAGCTAACGTTAGCTAAACGTCAGCTAGCTAGCTAATGATTGATGTAGTTGGCTAGTGTTTTGATAGCATTAGCCAATTTAAGATGTGACTATATAGATATAAAGGTTTCGAAACAGGCAGGACTTAAAGTTTGACTGTTAAAAACTCCTTGTTGTAATCGTTTATGTACGTTTAGCTGTTAGCATCCTCAACTGTCGTGCTAAACTTTTAGCTAACCTGAACGAAAGTGTTTAACTGCTGAATGAAACTGAATGCTAAGTTAACGTCAATTACCTCCAACTGTAAAAATAATGTCTTTAGATCGTTTGTCTTATTTAACATTTGTTGAGACGTCGTCACGCTGCCTTTAATAACATATTAAAGTAGCCTCACAGATTTGAGGAATCCTGATGGTGGATTTGTTCTGTGTGTTATATTAATGTCTGCTATATCTGCAATACATAAATGTTTTATCTAAAACTAATGTGTGATGTCTGCAATACATTTTGAAAGCCATAATTCTTTTGCTAGTTGCCTTACTCAAGGACACAATAGCTTCGTCCTTCCTCTCTTTGTACGTTTGCAACCTAGCTCTGAAGCTAAAGGCTACATAATCATCAAATCAGCCCCAAAGAGACGAACGACTCATCAATCGATCGGGAATATGTATCACAATGTTTGATTGATCCTTTTGGGAGCTCTGCTGATGGTTGAAGTCATTAAATGTGTGTCAGAATTCTGTCTTTATTTATTTCCAGAACTGTGCTAATGCCAACAGATACCACTTATTTACCTTTATGCCCCGTCCCCTTTTTGCTCTGTGCTCCAATAACTGTTGAGCTAGCCTCGGTCAGAACCTCGGGTCACCTTCCTCCTTTCCTGTACTTAGATATGTATGTATATGTGCTAGGCTAATCTATGTAGAAAAGACAACCACATTGTGAAGTTGATTAAAATTTAGTTAGCCACATGTTTGTCAAGGCAGACGACCACCCACCTAGAGTCGGGGTCTGTCCGAAGTTTCTGCCTCTTAAAGTTAGTGTTTCAACCACTGGGAGGTCAAAGGTCAACACACAACAAACATCATCAAGACACAAACTGGAGTGGGTGTGTGTCTGTGTGTTTGTCTTTATCACATGGTGGGGC